GAGAAAAAAAAGAGAGAATTTAACTTTCTTTAAGGTAAAAACAATGTCATTGTAATATTTCTCTATAACATTTTAGGAGATTTAGAACTACTGTTTATATTGGTACATGAGCAATAATGTTTGGCATATGCATATTCAAACAACTTTAACAAAAGACACAATTCTTGAAATTAAAATTGAAAACAATTTGAAAACAACAAACTGTTTGTACCCTTTCTCAAAAGAATTAAAGACCATTTTGATTTCAAAAAATAAAATAAAATTAGAAATAATAACACCCAATACTCTTTAAATAATTTTGTTCCAACATTACTATTAAGCCACGTATTGTTTTCTTTTAAAACAAAATTCTTTAATTTTCATACTCATTTTTAACCACACATTTTAAACAATAAAACATTTTAGACGTAAACCCAATTTTTCTTTTTACTATTTTTAAAGACACATTCTCCAAAAAATTACTATTCAAAATATTAATTTTTTTTTTCAATAATTCTGAAATTACTGCTTTTTCAATCTAAGTTCCATATTTCTTTCTCACAATCGTCGACTTGCCATCCACTGTCATGGAAAATCCATCTCAATCCGGTGCCACCATCATCAACAACCCCTAACCGCCTCTTAAGGCACCATATCTGATCTAACAATTTCAGATTTGTACCTCTTCGGACTTTTTCTTGAATTTTGTCATTGGAAGGATTTATAGGCAAGATTGAAGCACCGATTACATTACCTTTCTTTCTTCAAATTCTTTTCTCAAGTAGGAAAATGTTGATTAAAAAGCAAGTCCCGTAATTTGGTGGAAATTAAAATGCAGGTTTTAATTTAAGTTAGTCAATAATTAATTTTTATCACATATTTTATGGAATCTACAATTTTTTAATTACACATTTTATTAATTTTTATTAGAATTTACCAAAAATCTGATTTTTATCCCATACCAAACAAGGACAAAATAATAACAGTATTTCCCTGAGTTAAATATTTCATTGGCCGCTTAACTTTATACCATGTCACGACTTCCTCACTGAATTTCATTAATTGTTCATTGGCCACTGAACTTCACTTCATCCAACTCCATCACTCATCCGATGAAAATCGTTAATAGACATGCTGACATGGTAGATGGAAAAATGATGTGGCCGGTTAACTCCTTCCAAGTGGTAAGTTAATATGCACCATATATTTAAATTATTGGCTCTGTATATTCCAATTCTTTTATATTCTAATAAATTTTGAATCTGCATAACTGCTAGGTGAGGTCAATGCTCTTTTTCACAATGGAATCATTTCTTTGGCTAGTTGCTAATATTGTTTTTACTTGTGTCAGATCAACAGGAGGGAGAATAACGTAAGGATTTTGCAGTTTTGCTTGACGCTCACCGGAAAAAGGGCCAACAGATCATTCATTTCGATGTTCATGAAGATTGTATTGATTTTTTTATTTTTTATTTTTGCTTTTAATTCTGCGTTTTGGATTTATGTGGTGGTAGTAGTGTTTGCTTCACCCCTCACTTGCCGGAGTATAGTACATTGGTCCAACTTGACGAATGCGTTAACATTGGAACAAACTTGACGAATAAGATAACATTGTTTTAATCAACAACGTATGCGGTCTAATTTCATGAAGCTTTTCTCTTGAGTTTCTTGTTCTCATCTCTTGAGGATCCGAACATTGAATGAGATTTTCACTTGCCGGAGTATAGTACATTGGTCCAACTTGATGAATGCGATAACATTGGAACAAACCTGACGAATATGCAGATGCACTGTCAAAATCAAATGACAAACAGGAGAAAATTTTCACAAAATTACTGCAATTTTCTCAGACACTCTATTAGCTAAATAACCAAATTCATTAGCTTGAAATAATAAAATAAAATTGCAGCTTAAAAATGAGTGTG